TTGGTTTCTCCTCCATTCTGGACTCGTTAACTCAGGTAAAAAAATAATTGTTACACTTTTATTTCTACATTGACTGCACTCACGTAGCGATACGTGCCCCAGCTGAAGAGGAGCATGTATACGTCAATAGGAAGCGCTTCCACTCCATCAATGCGCAAGCCGTATGTGATGCCAACATGACGATAACTGATGTCGTTTGTCGGTGGCCAGGCAGCACGCACGACAGTTTCATTCTGTCACAATCAGGCCTTGGCAGAAAATTTGAGAACGGAGAACTTGGTGAAGGATGGATGCTAGGTATTGTTATTACTGATGTAATTTTAGATAAGGGATTACATGGTCAGAGAAAATGGAAGGAATTGAATTAATTCAGTATTAAACAGTGTATATTTTCAAAGCTTTTCAATATTGTACAAACTGGTGGACTAAACAATGTCTAGAATATTCTATGATATGTCAATTGATTGATGAATATTATCAACATAGACTATTTCCCAATATTATAGCATTATACACTAGTTCACTTTGAAAAGATAGTTCACATAGAAAAAAGATACTGTTAATATTGGTGACACATATATTACATTCCTGTCCTCGTCGCCTAGGTTATGTCAGTACTTACTCGTGGTAGACACGTTGTTTGGGTATAAACGGTTTCAATCAGCTCGGGCTCGAAATCGACAGCAACACCAGCTGATTCTGCCATATTGTAATCTATTTTCACCAGACCAAACCACCCGATCATATGCAAGACTACTCAACCAGAGGATCCACAATAATGATGTTATCTATAATTGTAAATACATATTTACCTGATTTACCTGATTTACCTGATTCCACCCCTAACCTGTAGGTTTGGAGTGGATCGAAGGGTAGGAAGTGTATTACAATACACTAGCACATAAATTATATGTTCAGACAATGTGTTGTTCATTCATGCAGGCGATAGTGGATACCCACTGAAGGGATGGCTGATGACACCAATCAACAATCCCAACACGGCAGCTGAAGAGCGATATAACAGGTACACGATAATCTGTTAAAAATATAACAGGCCTCAACGCTTATTTTCAGATCTGGTTGTCCTGTCGGGCAACAAGAAGCAATTTTTACTTGTTCGGTCGGAATCCCTCTCGCCATCCCCGATAAAGAGCAGAAAGCGGACCAACATCTCGCCTCCACATCGCAACAGGCGGTCGGAATCCCTCTCGCCGTCCCCGAAAAAGAGCAGCAAGCGGACCAACATCTCGCCTCTACATCGCAGCTCCAAATCCAGAGATCGAAGAGAACTTTCCCGGTCACCCTGTGGCTGGGGAGCTTTGATAAGAGGAGAGATATCTCGGGAGACACCTATGACCACTCCCAAAGGTCGACAGCCGTCCATCAAAAGCCACAGGTAAGCATAAAGTTATATTACTATAATTTACTAACTTGTAGTGACCCATTATACTGTTGTGTGACTTTTGTTGACATTTATTCACAACGGACAGGGTTTTGTAATAGGTAACAGTACTGGTATACTAATCAGGGATCGGGTTGAGCCAGGAAGTGGGGATATTTACCCCTATTTCCCCAAAAAAAATCCCACGTTTGTTGAAATAGTGGGATATTATTTCCCAGTACTTTTTACTAATGTATGAAAAATTGTGCTAACAAATCCTACGATTTTACAGAAATCCTGATAGTTTGCTTTCCATATTTTTTATTTCATTTGGTTTATCTCAACGTTTTTGACATCCAACCCGATCCCTGATCAAATAATTGTGTGCTGATAAATTGACACACTATAACTTATTCACATATTGTTGTCATAATACAATTTTTAATATATAATTTGTTTTTTCTTCTCGCAACTTGGTTTCCATTTTATTTATCAACAAAAATTTTAATCCAAACTCTTTAGTCAGTGTTGCGTTTCAACCGATATTGTGTGTGTGTGTCAAATTTATTTATTTTTGACTGAGGGGGCCGGCTATGAAAATCTGTTTGGAGTGCACATTCTTCTTCAATTTATGTTGTACATGTATATTTTCAGTACGAAGAGTAGTAGAGAGATATCGACAGAGATTCGAGTAATGGATAGAGGCCAACGCCCGGAAGACCTTAGGACTGCGGCCTATCCAATGTCGGAAGCAAGTAAGACATTATTTTGAAATAGATTGAATGAAGTTTTTTCTCCTAACTAGTAAAGGCTTTTTCAAAAAAATTGGAAAAGTAGAATTAATTCCTGATAATTGCCCCGATCGCTTTTGCAAAATTAGGATAATGATCTGGTTTCCAATCCAGGCAATATCTGATTCTGAAAAAAATTTGTTGTACAATTTGTACAGTACAAATGTCTCGGAATGATTGAGGTTTGGCAAACATCGAGATTCAATGATCGATCATTTTTTTGGACATTGTCAGAGGTTGATAATCACAAGCAGAATCTTTACTTCAGTTATGGTTACACAGCGCTGAGATAAAAAAAAAAGGGCATATCTCTGAGATCGGTTAGTAACTAGACGGCTGTCTTGGAGCTGTAATTAAGTTATGTCTGTGAACAAGATTATAAACCGAGGTCCGATATGTATCAGTGCCCTACACTGAACATGTTAAGAATTTAAACCAGAGGGCTCATTCAAAAGAGCAAGTTAATTTACCTGGGTCCACCAGGGGTTGGGAAGGGCAGGGGGCATGGGCCATAGTCCCATAACTTTTTTTAATGGTCCATTCAAATTTTCAATTTTACATGACACAAATAGTAAATGGCCCATCCAAAATTGTCTTCAAATGTACTGTAAATGAATAAACATGGCCCATTGGTCATTTCCGCCTTCCCAACCCCTGGTCCACTATCTTATCTCTGTGACATCTGTGATTTACCTTGATATGTTTCTCAGTCATGACAAAACAATCCAACCCAATATACTCCTTTATTTATATGTGGACTCTGTTTCTTTTTACAAGAATTCCAGAAGAAGGTGATATATCTTCTGACAGACATCCGGGACATGCTCAAGCAGGTACATGTGGGAATGCCACAGGAAACCCGGCCTACCCAACTGCCCCCGAGAGCCAATTCAGTTGAAGAATTGATGGAGACAGAAACAACCCTCAAATCCTTGGAGGCAAAGGAGAAGATGGTAAGTTTGCATTCTCGTTTTAGTATAGATAATATTGAATTGGGTTGAATTTGAAAACAAATAATGAAGATGCCGTCATGTGACAATTTACAAATCACTCTGAATATCATAATGCTAAACTGTAGTTTTGTATCGACCATGGTTTAAGTCTGAGGAGGGCAGTTTCAGGCCGACAGTGGACCAAATTTGCATCCCCTATAATTATTATTGAGGCTGTCACGTTCTTAAGAAAATGTAAACATTTACTTGGTGTCATACAACCGGAACGATTTCGTTTAAATGGGCACTTCACATACATCAAGTAATGGTCATTTAGGAATCTACTTTTTCGTTAATCAACACAAGTCATGAAGTGGTCACCAGATAGCCAAATCCGATGAAAAACTACTGAGCGATCAAAAAGAGTCGGAAACAAAATATTACTCGCCCAGAATAGTATCTCTGGATGAGAACCAACTTCTGATATCCCTTCAACTTGGGGTCTGTTTATGGTTCGATCACCCAGTCTGTAAACATTTACAGCACAAAAACGAACCTTTTCCGTTCACACGTAACACCCTTAAATATTATATAATTAAGCTATATCGACACCCTATATATTTATGTGTCTTTGTTAATTGTTTCAGGTTGCTAGTCTTTCTAAGATAGGAGGGATCAACAATAAGGACACAGCCAAGAACATCTTGCAGAGGTAAATATTTGTGAGCAAATTGATTTTCTATTAAGATAACTAATCAAGATTATATCATTGATAAATTGTGATGAACAGTACAGGAGATGATGCTGATGTAAACACAACAGGGAAACGGACTAACCATTTTGGACTGGTCGCCCAGATTTTGATGAAAGGACATCTTTACAGGACTTATAAAGGCAAATTTTAGGCGCCCAGTCAAAAAATTCCGCCTGCTAGTCCGCATCCCTGCACAACTTGTAATAAATGTATTGATCAAGGAGATAAACCATGCAGTGTATACCCAAGATTGAAACTATTTAAATTTAGCCTAATTTTTGTGTATATGGGTATCATTATAACTAAGAAGAATTCACAGTCAGTCCTCAGGCTTCACAGTGCTGAAACTTAACAGGGGACCCCTCGCCCAGGGCAACCCAAATTTTAGGTGGGCTTCTATAATTTGGAGGTGGGCTCTTCTATATTCAGTATGAAAATAATTAAGATTGAATCGATGGTGGGTAACTTGTACACAAAAATTAATTTTCATCCCTTCTTTATAGTCAATGTACAGACTGTTACGGGACATTCAGTCTGGTACACCTTTCTTTCACCAGACCAGAAGAAGTTTTACTGGTCCGAAATGGTTTATGAAGAGAAAAATTCAGTACTAAAATGAATTTTTTACCAAACAACTGGTTTGGTTTACTGCCAGATCTCACCAGACCGGATCACAATTTCACCTGACAGGACCGGTGGACCGGTGTATTTCGTGCAGACTGAATGTAGTCTTGTTGACTACAATAAAGTGATTGTTTTCAAATTTAATTTGAATGAGGATATATAGTTTGTGTTGTACACTTTTTAATCTCTCAATATTTGTATTACCAGGGAAGACATTGCAGTCTCCGCAAAATACACCGGTCCACCAGTCCTGTCAGGTGGAATTGTGATCCGGTCTGGTGAACTCTGGCAGTAAACCAGACCGGTTGTCCGGTAAAAATTTCATTTTAGTACTGAATATTTCTCTCTTCATAAACCATTTTGGACCGGTAAAAATCCTTCTGGTCTGGTGAAAGTAAGAAGTGTACCAAACCGAATGTCCTGTAACAGACAAATCTATTTCATGGAGTCAGACATTGTTTTACCCATTCTGTCTGTACGTCCATCTGTCACACTTTTTTTGAACAACTCCAAAACAGCTGGGCCAATTTCAACAAAACTTAATTAGTATACATAATCAGTGGGTTGTCTAGTTGTGCACCTGGGATCACGTTTCTCGTTTCGCACCTTTTTCTGTGAGTTACCCCCCTTTGGTGTAAATTCTTGTCCAGACAACTCCTCCACAGCGACTGGGCCGATTTGAGCAACACGTATACATAATTACTGGATAGTCTAGCTTTGCACCTCAGTCACGTTCTTCGTTTTTATACGCTGCCGTAGGCGGACGTATATTGGCATCATCTTGTCCGTCCGTCCGTCTGTAAACTTTTACCTTGTCAACGCAACTCCTACATTTCTCAACGGATTTTGATGAAAGTTTGTACAAATAAAGACCATGGCGGGTAGATGTGCATGAAGTGAGGATTTCCGGGTTCGACGATTTTAACCAGAGTTATGTCCCTTGACACTTAGACTCTTCAACACATTGGTATTGCAAACCTTCTGAACGCAATGCTTCCTTATGATTACCATGCGGCGGCGTATTATGTACCATCGGCGGTACTCTTGTTGCCATTTTCCACTGAGTTTTACCCCTTTTATATTTTTCTTATGTACTAATTAAGGGGGCAAAATCTGTTTTTGGTTTTGGTTTCAAAAAAAAAAATTCTTGTAGATTTAGGTACATTAATTGTGTGGATTAATATATTGTAAAATTTCAAAACTATGTGATGCCATCATATTGTAAAACTTGTTCTAGGTTGATGGCCAATGACGTCATGTCAAAATTTAATATGAAAGGAAAGAAGGGAAAGTTCGCGTTCAAGGGTACACGGATCCACCAGGCCATTAGAGGTATGTATGGCAAACAATATAGATATATTTAAAAAAAATATATATATATGAAGTACCAATTATATTGATGACTCTTGCTACTGGAAGTGCAAATGCGAATCACTTCCCCTCAAGAAAAATAAACAAAACGTTATGTTGAGACCAAAGTATTTCTAAAGAATTGAATTCGAAATCAACATACATTTTCGAGGCTTCTTTTCCAGCAGAAAACACTCAAATATAAGGAGAATTGAGACAAAAAAGTGTTCTATGATTTACTTTTGAGCATAGAACACTAGTTAATTTGCATATACATTTCCAAAATGAATTTGAAATTTTTTTCTATGCTTTTGTTGTTAAAAATCATTTTAATTTTTTTTTTTTTTCAAATTCTCTGTTCACAGAAAGTATGTTGAAGGAGGGCGTGACTGAACACATCATAGACCAAGACTTGGCATACTGCCTGAAGTATGCCCCCGACCGACGAGGCGGCGGAGGCCGAAAAAAGGACACTTCAAGTTGAAACTGAACGAGGGAACACTTGATAGTTATTGATACTCATCACACAGAACAATGTACTACAATGCATTTCATCATGTTGTCGGTGCCCCAGTGATGATATAAACTAGTAACACTTCATGAGCATAATTTGCCCCAGGCTTCAAAGTACGTGTGAGCTTATGAGCTATACAGACTAGTCTACACTTCACGATGTCACTGACTCACTGCCAAACCAATCATCATCTGATTTATTGTTACCTTATCATATGTACACAGTCATCACCGAAGGCTATGCTAATGTCATAAGTCCCTGTGAATCGGTGGACTTTTCTGTATGTGTTGCAGGTTTCCTTACTTGTTTCCACCTTTTTTGTCTTGCCTTTTGTCATCCCTGATGAATGTACAATGTCAATATTGAAACGGTAATAAATGAATAAATAAATGTATGCACATTTGCTAGTAATCCTTTGGCTTGTGTTCAGTCAATAACTTGATGTGGTATCATAAATTCAGGTGAACTGAATTCAAACCGATTTTGAAATGGAAACATGTTGGATTCATGTTGGATCCCAACGTTGGATTTACGTTGGATCCCAACGTTGGGTTTACGTTGGATCCCAACGTTGGATTTACGTTGGATCCCAACGTTGGATTTACGTTGGATCCCGACGTTGGATTTACGTTGGATTATGACGTAAACCCAACTTCCATATCCAACCATGATCCAACGTTAGGCCAACGTTGGGGTCCAACGTAAATCCAACGTAAATCCAACGTCATGTGCCCACTGGGTCAAGTATAAGGATACTAAAAGAAATTGTTTGCCAGAGAACAAAAGCCTACAACATCATACAACTTGCTACATTCATAAACGAAACTTTGGAACGGTATTTACAGCGCCAAATATTGTCTCTGGCCCACAACCGTTTAGACCACCATATAGCTAGCAAATTTTTAGGTGTAGAAGTTGATTCGGTTCCCGAAGACAGCATTAAAAGTACAGGTGACTGCACCTTTCAAGTAAAAAGTGCGAGGATGAAGAATGTGTTTTATGAGGTGGACTTATTGAGTGGTGTTTGTTCTTGTCTGCATGGCTCGAATGGAACCTTTTGTAAACATCAAGCGGCTGTCGTTAAAAAAACAGACACAATTTATCTGAACGCAGTTCCTATTTCGGCTGTTGGAAGACAAATGAATGCGAAACTGGCTTTAAGGCAAGATGCAACAAAAGGTGTACAAAAGGTTCTTTGTTGGGTTGAATGAAAAGATATGTATAAATGAACAGGATATAAGTGAAAATAAATCCACTGAAGTCATCCATCATCCTACTCTACAAGATGATCTCTCAGAAAATGTTGATGCTGAGCACCATTCCGATGAAGATTTCCAGGAGCCCAACAAAATCAGCTCTCACTCCAGAATCAAAAAATGTATTGATAATTTGGAAATGGTGTCATCTGATTTGAATATGAGACTGCATACTGGAGAGCCCAGCCTCCTGAGTGGTATTGAACACTTTTGCCAAGTTTATTCTGCAGTCACAACAACAAATCTTGTTTATGCAAATAATCAATTATCAACTTTTTTCACAATTTTGGGAAGGCCAGTTCAAACTCAAATGTCAAACACAGAAAACGAGCCAAGGTTACAGCTGGAGCTGTCTTTTCGGGTAAGCGGATACCAGTGAACTCTACTGGATGTATGCGGCGAAGGCCAGGATTGACTCGTGGGAAGAGTACTGTGAAAGCCGGTAGACCATGTGGAACAAACGTCCAGTCTGCAAAACCAGACTCTGCAATTATCCCTGGCAGAAAAGGAGTGCCAAAAGTATCCCATAATCTTGCTCTAAACATCCAAGAATGCCGTTTGAATCCAAAATAAGTGCATGTACATAGTATATTTGCTCTAACAACACATTTACTACTGAATAATGGGTGAAACTGCATGGCTTACAATGGGATCTATGCAATACGCAATGTGTTAAGATAACTGCCAACTCAGAATGTGTTCTTTAATTAATAATTATTCATTGTAATTAGTTGGTGTTACTGTATTACTGTATTACTGTATTACTCGTACACTTGTACACCTGCATTACTGTATTACTCGTACACCTGTATTACTGTATTACTCGTACACCTGTATTACTGTATTACTCGTACACATGTACACCTGTATTACTGTATTACTCGTACACCTGTATTACTGTATTACTCGTACACCTGTATTACTGTATTACTCGTACACCTGTATTACTGTATTACTCGTACACCTGTATTACTGTATTACTCGTACACATGTACACCTGTATTACCTCGTACATTAGCCTATTTTGTATTTACTAGAAAATAATCTTGCTCTAAACATCCAAGAATGTCGTTTGAATCAAAATAAGTGCATGTACATAGTATATTTGCTCTAACAACACCTGTACTACTGAATGATGGGTGAAACTGCATGGCTTACAATGGGATCTATATGCAATACGCAATGTGTTAATATACTGCCAACTCAGAATGTGTTCTTTAATTAATAATTATTTATTGTAATTAGTGGTGTTACTCTATTACTGTATTGCCTCGTACATTGGCCTATTTTGTATTTACTGGAAAATAATATTTTTTAACTGTGCAACACCTGTACTACTGAATTCGGAGACCGGAGATTGTGCGCCGAGATTCGGAGCAGCTCTGTTCCAGTAGTTTACGTGTATTCGGAGACAGAGATTGTGCGCCGAGATTCGGAGGCAGCTCTGTTCCCGGTAGTTTACGTGTATTCGAGACAGAGATTGTGCGGCCGAGATTCGGAGCAGCTCTGTTTCCCGTAGGTTACGTGTATTCGGAGACGGAGATTGTGCGCCGAGATTCGGAGCAGCTCTGTTCCGTAGGTTAAGCAATTCGGAGACAGAGATTGTGCGGCCAAGATTCGCGAGCAGCTTCTGTTCCCATAGGTTAAGCAATTCAGAGACAGAGATGTGGCGCCGAATTGAGCAGCTGCTGTTCCCGTCAGGTGTACTATATTCGGCGAACGGCAGATAAATGCGGCCGAGATTCGGCATGGCCAGTTAGTATTTACCGTCATAATGCTACATCTGTGATGCACGAAATTCGGAGCACTACTGGATAAGGTCACAGTATAAGATTACGGTTTAGGCACCTACCTCTTAAAGTTTGTTTTATACGAGTACTGTTTATGTTTATCGTGCATAGCGACAAAGACCTATATATAAATATTTTGTTCAATAATAAAAAGTTTTTAGCGTAGCACTAAACAAGTTTACCGGGCTTCAGTTAATTGGTTCTGGGATCTTTGTGCTGTCGTTGTCATTGTCGGGTGTTGAGTAGAAAAGCGTGATAATTAATTACTGACACACGCCGCGCAATCGCCTCCTCGCTAAGGGAGCGAGAAATGATCCACATTTAATTCTAAAAAATGCACCATAGTGCGCATACTACTGCTGACAAACCCTAGGGTCACTACAGTATTTTTTGGGGGCTCGCTCCGGATCCTTAATAATCCTAAAGAAACTATAAATCTTGATTTAGGCACAAAACTTAAAGGGAGAAATAAGCACCACTTTTTTCAAGAGGAGATGCGCAACTTGGCTTTCAGCAATTCATCATAAAATTTGGAGATGGTACAGCTAGTTCAATTATCGGCCACCAAAGGAAAATGAGGAACATGAATGCAGAATTCGTGCACGAGGGAAACAATGCATGAAAAACATGGAAGCTGACGAGGGAGATACAATTTACAAGATTCATTCCGATCCTCTAATGACCCCAGCCGTAGACGAACACTCTCCCATATTTACCCCAATTAATTCAGGAGGAATGATACTTATTATGGAAAGGGGGTCTATTAAGCTCGGCAGGAAGCTCACACGTAGGGCGAAAGGAGGCTCTATTAAGCTCGGAGGGCACTCACACTAGGAAAGGAGGTCTATTAAGCTCAGGAGGAAGCTACACTAGGAGAGGAGTCGGAACAGAAGCCACCTCAAAGGCTTTGATTTGTGATAAAACGCTGGCTAAATACGGAGTATATTTACATTTTTGGCAGGAGGAATATGCTCAGACAGAGTGAGAGTCCATGTGCGGCCCCGGCGAGGTATTATCGGCAAACCGAAGAAGGCGCAATGCTGTACGACGTCAGGATGCAGAAAATTACGTTTAGGAAGCGTCGGATAATCTAAACGCACTTACAAAGGAGAAGCATGGGCCTTTTGTTCGGAGTATTGTCTGCGCCTTTCTGCGACCACGCTTGCAGGCAAGCAGCGTGACGACATCCGGGAAGCACATCCGCAAAGTGCACCAAGACAGGCCAGCAGTGGACTCTTGCATACAATACAATGATGTTGAGTCTCGCAGAGGGGAGCTGAAACTAGATAGAGATTCAGCTACGCCAATCGCACTGCGCTACCACCAGGTAAAGTGGACAAGGAATGCAGATCGCTGAAGAAAAGAAGAAGGTCGGCACAAAGAGAAGAAGGGATCGCAGTACCCTGAGGGTCAAAGGAGGAAAGCAACCGGAAAGGAGAAGGAAATAGACCCTGCATCACCACGACCCATATACACGCCACCCTGCTTGCGACCTTCCTCGGAAAGACGACCTCAAAACCATAAAGTTGCCGTTAACATCAATACCATCCGCCCTCAGCCTGGAAACTCGCTCCCTGGCACGTCTGCCTGAAATGGAGCGAAGACAGAAGTATGGGAGGCGAAATCTACGATGAGCGAACGAGCAGATAGGATAGGAAAATTCAGGAGGACTTAAAGGAGGCAAGAAGTACTTAGCGACCGGTTACGAGACGAAATAAGGAAGGAGGAAGAGAGCATTGTAAGAGAAAAGAAGGACGAAGCTTGCGAGACTGAAACCAGGGATGTAGGAGAGAAGAAAGGCAGAGGTAGAAAGGCGGCTGGCGCAGGACGCTAGCTAGGAAGGAGGAGTTGATTAAGTACCTCTCATGACAATGTAGAGGTTCATCCACATCCTGCGCTTGACATGAGTGACAGACATGATATGTCAGATGTGTCAACACAGCAACACCCACCAATAGCCAGCATCGATCGACCCCATAGACTGCTGGACTGAAGCACACACCATTTGATTTTGGCACGATAATGGAGTAGACCGATCTACCTGTCATCAGTGGTCTTCACACGTGTGCTGTGTGTGCTGAAGCTCAGCTTTTCCCGCGTATTTTCTGGTGTATGCATGGAAGCGCAGTGACCGGAGCCTTGCCAGCCATCTTCTACACTCAGTTCGGTCAATATCAACAAAGTCAGACTATTGCATCACTCCCAGATCATATGTATGTGCGATTGATGGATGGCACTCTTTTGACCTCTCGTGATACTGCATATCTGCAGTTTCACTTCGATGTCATGCTAAACTCTGCTTTGAATTCCAACTCGGCTTTCATTGCTTGCCAAAAGGGATTGGAACATGTCACGCGCAAGCACAGCTTGCAACCTTTAGAAACACATGAAGGCATTATGCAGTTCGATGAAGTAGATGCACGACGCCAAGTCAAACAATTGTCAGCACTGTTACGAGCTGAGGGTGCCTGGCACTATTTCATAACTCTAACGTGCAATGACAGTGCTACAATGGTGTGGTCTGGCCTATTCGGCAGCTATTCTAACGATCGATCTCTCACACAACACAGAATGTTGCAAAATTACGCAGTTATAATGTGCCGTGCGTGGGAACGAACAGGACGCTATATCTGGAAGTACATTCAGTATAGCCCAGAACGGCCACTTGGACATGTGAAGTGTGCGTGGATGCGATACGAGTTCCAGAGTGCAGGGGCTCTAGGAAACCGACCGCACATTCATGGAGGTGTCACGCTGTATCCAGAGCCAGAAATAGTTTCACTTCAGCGGATCAGATGTTCGTTGGAACACATGTTCACAGTAAATGCTAACACTGATATGGCTACCCTTGATCACAGAAGGAGTCATTGAAAGCGAACATGAATTCTATCGTTTTACATTCTCTAGCAAAACTACTGCAAACACACAGCTGTGCCAATGCTGATGCAAGATGCCAAAAGAAACGTGCTGCGGATGACTCCCTCATCTGTCGTGTGCAGCGTCATCCCTACAGTCTTAGATACAACTTTAATGAACGAGAGCAGCTCTATGACCAGGACACATTGGATAGACTGAAGTATCTTGATCTTGGTGACGTCGATCGCAAAACGCAAAAGTGGAAACCATGCAAAGCATTGCGTGCTGGCAGATGGCAATATCCAGCTCAACTGAACGAGCATTTTATCCCAACTGTTCCACGACTGTTTGTTGCAATGCAAGCTTGCACTAATGAACAATTCTGCGACCGCAAATTCCAGGTTTCTTATCTGGCGAAGTATGCAGCTGGCGTTGACGAAAAAGCGCAGGTCTCATTTACCCACACACTAAATGTTCCTCACACCATTGATGCTCATGTTCACTCACTCGTCAACCAAAAAATTTCAGGCCAGGCACTCAAGTCATCGAAAAAGCAGTCAACTTCATTAGCACGAGAAATGCCCCTCACTGAGATGATCTGGTTCTGCGCTGGTCTACCGTATGTCACTTATCCAACCGATATGACACATGTATCAACGATGCCACCTGAGTACCGCTATGCAATTGTGAAACGTCAGGGAACCATTACACGAGTTGCTGGTGGTGGGGGCCAGCTTCTACCTGTTGAGGCTCGGCATGGTTTGCCTGAATGGCGAAGGTTTACCCAATCTCAAGAACTGACGATGCAAGACTATGCCAGAGGGACATACTATATTGACG